AAAGGAGAATATGCTTTCAAATCCTCAGGAGCATTTTTGCAATCAAAACAAAAACGCTTTTGGAGGCTGGACACCAGTTCCGACTGGTGGGACTGGCTGGTCATGGAGTGGTGGGACGACCAGCAAAAGGCAAAACTTCCTCATGCAAAAGGCCATCTTTTTGGACCTGTGTGCCTGGCTTGCCCCTGCCCTCAGGTGATGGGACACCCATATGCAACCTGCTATCCTCCTGGAGAAGTGCATCATCACTGCTGTGTAAAAGCTCCCCATGCCACACAGTTACCGATCCGTCAATAAGCAGTTCAGTGTGGGAAAGTCAACTGTTGGGGCCCTGGTCAAGCAGGTATGGCCCTCTCGGGCTACTGTCCCAGGAGGGAGGTAAATTGCTGGAACGGGGAAACCTCAGGAAAGGGGAGGGGAGATTGCGGGTGGGGAAAGTCACCTTCCCCGAGTGTTTTTTTCAGTCCCGCCTTCACACAGCCCTGCTGGGGGATAGGTTACGTAGGGGATTGCTCCTGGTGTGCGTGGGGCAAGGGGGACTTGGGGACCTCTCGCTCAGGCACTCCCTCTCATTCTCTGTGTGTTTTCTGCAGATAGTGAGGGCCATCAATTCTGTCCTGATGCGCAGGGTCATCTGCCTTGAGACCTGGACCCTATCGTTGCAGGATTTGCTGCCCTGGGGTGGGAGAGCCATTGATAAGCCATCGATGGAACCCACATACCAATCCGTGCACCACATCATCAAGCTGCCCTGTACATGAACAGGAAGGGCTATTTCTCAATGGTGCTGCAGGCCCTGGTCAACCACCGTGGACAGTTTACAGACATTTTTGTCAGGTGGTCGGGTACGGCGCATAACGCCTGTGTATTACTATTCAGAGCCAGGTCCCTGCTCCAGCAATATGTGGAGCTGGGTCTCTCCTCCAGCTCTGCCTGGAGCGGGCCCCGGCCCCCCCGCCAGTCCCTCCATGCATCCCCGTGTTCCCGTCCTGTCCCTGTAGTGCATGGCTCTCAGTGCGGCTCCCCCTCGCCAGCTTCTGCTGCCATCTGCAGTGTTTTCAGGTGAGCAGAGAGACGCCTGGGCATGACGTGATGTCACACCCGGGACTTTAAAACTTCTCAGAGGTACGTTGCATAGCTCTGGGTTCGGACAGGAAGGGGCTTGTGTGAAGGGGGAGGGGGAAGAAAGGGGAAGGCACCAAGAGACAGGCTGGCGGGGACTCCCCCTCGCCAGCTTCTGCTGCCATCTGCAGTGTTTTCAGGTGAGCAGAGAGACGCCTGGGCATGACGTGATGTCACACCCGGGACTTTAAAACTTCTCAGAGGTACGTTGCATAGCTCTGGGTTCGGACAGGAAGGGGCTTGTGTGAAGGGGGAGGGGGAAGAAAGGGGAAGGCACCAAGAGACAGGCTGGCGGGGAGACAAATGCCAGGAGGCCAAGTGCAGAGGAAAAGGGCAGGAGGGGAGGGGGAAGGGGACTGGGGGCTAGAGGAGGGAGGAGGAGGTGTTGGGAGAAGGCTTGAAAGAAGGGGTGGACATGAGAAAGGTGAGGATGGAGCAAGTCATGTGTGAGGGCACAGAGGGGCAGGAGGGGAATGGGGCAGAGAGTGGTGAGGGGGTGGGCATCAGGGAAAAAGAGGTCAAAGGAGGCAGGGGCAGTAAGGGAAGGGGGAGGCACCAGGAGGGTGCAGGGCTAAGGGAAGGGGCAGGTGTCAGGGGATTCTAGGATGAAGAAGAAGGACAGACACTTGCAGGGAAGGGACCAGCACCAGAGACGAGATCCCTGGGCACCATGCTAGGGAGTCTCCAATTTAATCCCATTCTGCTCCCCAGTTATCTCTTCAACTCACGTGCTCCTACTCCACTTGCCACTGGTAGTTGGAGCCTCCTCCCTGCCTCTCTGCTCCAAGCCCGACCCTGCTCCAAGCCTGACCCTTCTTCATCTCCACTGCAGGGTTAGTGCATGTGGGAGCCCGGCCCCAAACTGTAGGGGGGTGGGGAAAGATGCGGTACAAGTTCCCCTCAGCTGTGCACCAGGTTTGGGGCCATGCCACATGGTGGGGGGGGGGCACAAATTTTTCCTTTGCCCCCGGGCACGTAACACCCTCGCTATGCTTCTGGTGGCACATCCAAACAAGCCACATGAACTCAGTACAGGTGCACAACACAAAATCTATTCTGCTCATGGGAGTAAATGTCTACACTGGCAGCTTCTTGTGCAAGAACATCTTTCGCAAGGGTTCTTGTGCAAGAAGTCTTTTGCAAGAACATGTCTACACTGCCATGTGCGAGCTGTGTTTTTGTGCAAGAGCATGCATGGCAGTGTGGACGCTCTCTTGCGCAAGAAAGCCCCGATGGCCATTTTAGCCATAGGAGTTTCTTGTGCAAGAAATCCCTGCCGAACATCCACACTACCCTCTTGCGCAAGAGAGCTTACACCTGTTAGAAAAGAGCGTAGCTCTTGCGCAAGACACCCTCTCTTACTACGCCATAATGTAAATTTCCTTGCGCAAGAGCAGGTGGACAGTGTGGCTGCTCTGTGGGTTCTTGCACAAGAAGCTGCGAGTGTAGACATAGCCTTAGAGGGAACACTTCCCTCAGCCTCTCTGCCCCTGAGTTAACATCACACACATTGGGTTAATGCAATTGCAGGATAGTTGCATGAGGTGGGTTTGGTAGGGGCCAAACTAATCCCTGTTGGTAGGAGGATGGAGGGAAAAGTCCTTTGAGAGGGGTGACATGACAGCTTTTACTTCTGGTCATGTGTCCATCTTGCCCCGAGTGTGTTACCTCCAGAGGTCTGGTTAATGGGACTCAGGGCGTGTGGATAATGAGGGTCAGGGCGTAGTTAACGGGGATCAGGGAGTGTGGCTAATGGGGTACCACCAAAAATTATACAAATCTGCTGGCCCTGGAGGAGGAGTGAGTAGGCTGCCTGCGCCACAGGTGGTGTGAGTTTAGTGCAGGGTTTTCCTGTGCTGTGGGAAAGGGTGTGTGTGTGCTGGAGGGGGATTTTTTTGCTCAACCAAAATTGCTGTGGGGCTCTGTTGAAATTGGGCCCCGTACTTCCTAAAGCCAGCCCTGATCACAAAAGCTATTTCTCAATGGTGCTGCAGGCCCTGATTGATCACCATAGACAGTTTACAGACATTTTCATCAGATAGTAGGGAAGGGCGCACAATGCCTACGTTTTTAGAAACTCCAGTCTCTACCAGAAGCTGGAGGCTGGCACATTCTTCCCCCAGCATGACTTTAGGGTTGGGGACGTGGACTACACTCTCATGCCATGGCTTATGAAGTTGTACACCAGCCACCTGAACCCCAGCAGGGACCAATTCAATGCTCACCTCAGCTGAGCCCACATACAGGTGGAATGCGCTTCTTTACGTGCCACAATGTGGGGGAGCACAACATACTCCAGGTGACCTTCTCATGTTGTGTCCTCCACAACATTGTGGAGAGGAAGGGAGAGGCCTTCCTACTGGGGTGGAGGGCAGAGGACAGCTGGGAAGAGAGGGCCTTTGAGCAGCTGTGGACAGCTGCCATCTTCCAGGCACATCAATTGGGGGTGTGCATCCAGGAGGCCCTGAGGGAGAGTTTCTCTCAAGGACCCCAGTAACTCTCCCCAGAACCTCCCCACTAAGGACTTGTGCCTTGCTCCACTATCCCTTTTCCACCACAACTCCCACCTTCCTCCTTCCCTGAATTCTGAATAAACATACTTGTTTTGATTTGAACAAAACAAAGTTTGTATTTTTTATAATTAAATAAACTGAAGATACTGGATGGGGAAGGTAGGAGGGGGGCTTAGGGCTGGGAGTGGCATATGTGGTGGAAGTGCCACCTTAATTCTGGGGACCTCGGCAAACTTGAGGTTGGGTGGGGCCTGGGACATCCTTCCCTGAATTCTGAATAAACATACTTGTTTTGATTTGAACAAAACAAAGTTTGTATTTTTTATAATTAAATAAACTGAAGATACTGGATGGGGAAGGTAGGAGGGGGGCTTAGGGCTGGGAGTGGCATATGTGGTGGAAGTGCCACCTTAATTCTGGGGACCTCGGCAAACTTGAGGTTGGGTGGGGCCTGGGACAACAGGAGGATGGGCAGGAGGGGGGCTGGAGCAGGGGCAGGGATGGCAGAGGGAGGGGGCATAGGCACCGTTTGGGGGGACAGAGGATGGGGGAATAGGCATAGCAGGGGCTGAGGGA